TAACTTTTACTCAAGGTCAAAAAAAATAATTGTGCTTGTCACTCTTTTGTTTTTAAAAAAGGGTTCACGTCTCCAAAAATTTTTTTGAATTCAATCACGAAATAATAAAATGAAAACGCTTTACTCTCCTCGTTTATTTCATTGGGTCCTATTTGTTGCTCTGACTCTGTTTCCGTGGAAACAGAGTTCAAGGAAACCAAGGCGGGCGGTTCCGGTGAATTACCCAATGAGCTGTCCCTGTGCGGCAGCGGGACATTTGATTGGCTACCGACGCTTTCGTCGACGCTTCCGCTCGACTGGCGCTCGAAACCCGCGGTTTATAAAAACAAGGATTCAACTAAATGGAATAACCAAATTAAAACCTGCGATTCTCCCAAACCGACGCGTTGGAGTCGGTGTCGAAGCTGCGCAAACACTACGGCGACGTCCGCTTAGATTAAAACCGCGGCAGGGAACTATTTCATCAGAGCGCGGCGGTGGCGTTTTTGTTTGTAGCAATGTTAGCAGTGGAGTTAGCAGATGGCTAGTTAGCCAGGTAGCCAGGAGGGGCAGCGTTACCTTGTCAACCATCGTCAGCTATCGTCAACTGAACGTGCTGTGACTAGTGTCTGTCCGAACAGCCTGGAAGCTGAAGTCTCACGGTGCTTTTCTGCGACTACAGGTGAGTGTCGAGACGCTGCTATCTGAGTTATCAACAATCTCTGTCTTTAACTGAGTCCGTCCCCGCCAACCTGCAGCTTCACGACCTGCTAACACACTCTCATTCTCATCGCCAGTTCTCGGATACACAACAACAATGTCGCTGTCGACACAAGCTCGTCTCGGGGTCAGATTTAAAGGAGAGACCATCTGCGTGGTGCCCGACCTCTCCTCTGATCTCCTGGAAGATGACTTCGACCTCAACAAGTCCTACCCACACACCCGGACACCATTGTGCAAGCAGAAACGTTTAGCTCTGCAACGTCGTTATTATCCTGGTTCACTGACAGGTGAGTTTATCTTGGCACACACACACACACACACACACACACACACAAAATCAAAAAGTTTAGATACTTAGTTTGTGACTGGCTTTTGCACAAAACAAGAATGTTACTCACTAGAGCATAGATCTCAACCAAGAATTAAATTCACTGGATCTGCAATCTCACAATGTTAAAGAAAGTGAAAACAATTCTGATCGTACAAACATGTAATGGGTTCATGCCCCACCCCATCACAAAATTTGTTGTGTAATTTCTGCGTTATCCCGCTAACAGAAACACGCAGATCCTCAGTGGAGGTGAGCGGAATGGCACCCAGTGCATTCTATGTACCACTGCCAAGGCCCAACAGTCCCTTTATAAAACCAAATTTAAATTCACTACATCAAGATTTTTATTTTGATCTGCACCAAATTGTAAACATGTATTAATATCAGAACCCTAATAATGTCAGATTTTTTTCCAACAAGAACCATGAATTAATGTCTGAGAAATCAAGGTAATGTCACACAACACCCTATCATGCAATCTTAAAGATGGTGAAAGGGAAATTTCTGGATCTATGCCCTGACTAATCCACCCTGTAGTTTTGGCGTGATCTTGCTATCAAACAATGAAAGACGTAAATATCCTCAGAGGGGGTCAAAAATAAAATCTTTGATGTGGAAAAAAAGATTTTTTAAAAATGGTTCAAATTTTTTTCTTACAGGTCAACGTTTGGATGTTTGCAGTTCAGTCGCAACAAGAAACCAGCAAATCTCTAGTTTACACCCTGACCCCCAAGTTTCTCCTGTCTGCCTGCCACACCCGTCCACTATGTCAGAGACAGAAGACAGCCTGTTCTGTAAACTAAACTCTGGAAACTTTGGCCTGACAGGATCGCCATCTGTCCTGAACCCAAACAAAGTCCTTCTTACTGTCAACCATAAAACCAGAGAGGTAATTTCTTTGTTCGTGTGTGTGTTTAAAATGTGAGTAAAGTTAGCTCAGTGTAATGGGTCAAACTACTGCAACTACAACATACCCAGTAAAAACATGTTTCATTAAAAATTTTTTCAGATTTTGTCTGTGAACGAACAGGCCTGCAAACTGTTTGAGTGCACCACCTATGAGCTGATTGGAAAAAAGCTGGGCTGTTTCTTAAAGAAAACCAGTCAGGTCTTGGAACAAGCATTGGAAGAAGATTATCTGCTGGAGGATGGAACTGTTGCAGCTGTGTCTGGAAAAGTGGTATGAAATATGCCAATTAAAAAAGATTAGAAATGAAATCGTTTAATATTCCTCAAAAGATGATTATATCAACTTACTATTTGGTCAAATATTCTTACACCACCGCCGCAAGAATATGTGTGTATATTGAAGAGTGTTGTGTGTGTTAAATATTTTTTCTGTAGGTGGATGTTGTGACACAATCTGGTGAGATGCCGGTGTCAGTGTGCTTTCACAAACCGTCGCCTAATGAAGAGCCATGGCTTGTCATGATGGAAAAAGTAGAGCGGTTTTCAGCCTTTGTCTCCTTTTCACAAGATGTAAGTGTATCATCAATAGTAGCCTTAGTTGTGTCATTTATCTCAGATCTTTAGGTCTTTGGTACATTGAATTATTTCCAACTGGGTCTTTGAACCTATTAAAACAATTGTTTGTTGCACTTCTCTGTCATTTCTAGGGCACTGTCCTTACCTGTGACTTTGCATTTGCGCATCTCCATGGATACCACCACCCTGACGAGTTAAGAGGGATGTCTGTGAAGGAGCTAATCCCCTTTTTACAAATCCCCCTGCACACTCATGCATTGCCCAAAGTAAGCGCACTTTGTAACCAAAATTGTCCCACTCAGCAGAGGAACGCTCCTTTTTCTTAAGCTTTGCTTTTAAGTTTCTGTTTACCAGGGTGCTTCTTAGTCAGTTCAGGAACACGCAGAAAATAATTTATATCCCTCAACGTTTTAAGCTTAGGTACTGTCATCTTAGACTTTGCTTTTTCTTCCTTCTTTTAGATGCTGAGGGTTCAGAGACGGTACGGTAAAAGCAGAGGGGGTGCATTAGTCCCGCTGTGTATCAAAATTCAGGGGGCTGTTCTATGTGGAAAACCCCAAAACAACGAAACTGGTTTCACCTGCCCATCAGATAGTCTTGAAAGCTTTGATGTACAAGACAAGCAGCCTTGCTCCCCTCTCACCTCCCCTGTGTGTCAGACAGAAGCCTCACACTTGCATGGAAAAGAGCCGTCTTCCGGTGAGTTGTTTAGTTTGATGCTAAATCTAAGCTGTCACCTATGGCTAAATCTTAGAGGGATTAAAAACGCTCAATATTATTTTGAGCAAACTGGAGCATAATCCACTGTGTCAATGTTATCCTGCCCAAACATCTTGCAGAGTGAGACTCCAGACTTTATATAATAACTTGCAGAGAATAGATTTAAAAAGTCACATCCTGTTGGAAAAATAATCAAAATCTGAAATAATTGACACCATGGCTTAGAATTGAATGTCAGTTTTTCTTAATGCTGCACAAATAATGCCAACAAAGAAAATATCAACAAATGTGGGTGAGTTGAGTTCTTAAACCAACTTTAAGATGTATAAACTTTACACACAACAATGTTCAATAGAAAACATGCATCTCCAAATTAATTCAAAATAACAGCTGCATTCAACCAGGCTGAAAAATCTACTTGCCTTATCTCATGAAACACTGACAGTTACATGGCTTTCACAGAACAGTGACGAGGGAGTTTCTGAATAGATTTGCATACAACCTGATATGATCCCTACATATCCTATATGGTCCTAGTTTAGATACTATAGGGTTTCAATATGAAAAACAATCACTCAAAGCAACACAAAGACATGTAATTTAGGCTTAATGTTTTACAGTTTAATCATAAACTTTATTACAAATTACTTTAAATCAAAATAAGATATTCTGTAAAAAAGTATTCATATTGGTGCATAATAACAAACATAAACACAAATACGAAAAGTTTGTGAAAGGTTCATATCTGTCAATATTATCGACTAACCAATATATGGTCGAGCTCTAGTATGTACCCCAAAACACCCTATTCACCAAATACTGTGATTTTGTGCATTTTCAACATGCGTCTGGTTTCTCAAAGGAGTCAAAATGGACGATAGGGTCATTTCCCCAAGCCCTGCGCTGGAGTACTCTGGAACAGTCTGGGTGTTTGCTCCTCAGAGCGGTCTCCTCCTTCTCCATCCTGATGGTTCCATCTTCAGCATTCACAACCACCTGACCCTCAGTTTGTTTGGCTACAGCAAGGATGAGCTGTTAGGAAAGGTCAGCCAACATGATCAGTGGAATAGTGCCGTTTAAATTGAGGGCTGGGACGACACTCACTTCTGTCACTGCTGCTTTGTCTCCAACAGAGTGTCACTTTCCTGATGCCTGGTTTTTACAGATGGATGTCTGACACAGACAGAAAGTCCTGTCCATTCTCCAATTCTGAGGCAGAGGCTTGTAAAAGTGCTGCCTCATCCAAAATATCAGGAAAATCTGGTGAGCATTTAAATCCATCTGTGATGTGTACAGAGCAAGTTTCATTATCTACTTTCTGTGATTAGTCTTTAGTGTTATCTTTGTGTGTAGTAATAGTTTCCTTGCTCAGTTCTTTTACTCAAAATGTATTCCTGTTGTTTTTTTTGTTTTTTTTTACTTCTTCTTGTCATGCAATAATATTTCCTTTAATTATCTATAATTTAATAATAATGTTTCGCAATCCTAGATCCGTCCTCACTGGTGGCAGGAGATATGGCCATGGTGCATCGAGCCATAATGGAAAGAACCTCGTCAGGCAGAGGCAGGATCTTCACCGGAACCGGCACCAGACTGGAGAAACAGGCCGGCACGTTGTCAACTCTCTGCCCTCCTGCAGTCACCTCTACACGTGTGGTTATGTAAGTGCACATCCTCATGTGCGTGTTATAATATTCCACTTTAATATTTTGTGCGGAAGGACTTCATGTTGAAAAAAAGCCAAAGCTGATGGTCTTTCAGTGTATCTAACCAGCCAACACAAACAATAGACCTCTTTTACTTACAGCGACCCTTGTCATTTAGTTAATTATTCAGTACAGTATTTCAGTGTTAACAAAATCTCTGTGACATTTCCAAATAGTTATGTTGTTCATTAGATCTACTGTTACAGCTAGACACGTAAAAGGCTGCACCCTGGACAGAACACATATCAAACCCAACGCCAATCTTCCTACAAATTGTTACTTGCTTGTTTGCCATTTCACTTGCCCATGAATTACATTGAATGATTTTTCTGTCCTTGCTAATGAGAGGTCATCAGTACATACAAGATTCGCGATAGATTGTTATTGACTGATGCATGTATCCAGACTCACCCTCAAGGAAAAATAAATCCAGAGGGACTTTTTCACGTCAAATGACTAATGATTATCAGGCAAAAAACAAGGTCCTGCTTAAAGCTTAATTCTGTACATCCACATTTCTCCAATCACAAAGACGAAGGAGCGACCATCGGTTTCTCTAATGCCAACCTCAAATATTTTGATGTGGTATCTTGTCTTCTGATTAATTAATGTGAAAAACACAACAATGACACCCACAGTGGTGCATTTTTTGTTACTCTGTGATTCATAGTGACGGTTTGATTTTTAATCTTTTTCCAGAATCTGTGCACTTGTTTAATCATGACATGCAATGCAGTATTTTGACTAAAATCCAGCCATTCTTTCATCAGGGCCGACGACACATCAGAGCTGATGGAGGAGGCGGCCCAGGTCGCTCGCTGCAATAGTCAGCTGGAAGGTGCAGACAACACTCAGGCTCTCCTCAAGACATTTGCCTGGGTGGAACCTCCAGAAGAAGAAGAAGGCACCTACTGCCTTATTCTCCCAGAACCATCACAGTACGATGCAGAACAGCACCTCTGCAATGAGATTGTCCCAGGTGAATTTATCCCCAAGTGTACTACTTAAATATAGCTTTTTCTATTTTCCATTAAGTCATTTATTTGTGGTTCTATTTGTATTTCATGTTGATGTTTCAAATGGACTTTGCATATTGGCTGATACCGGTGTTTTTTAAGTAATAACAACTTTATAAAAATGTATTATAACCGTTTATTTCTACTTGACCCTGCATGGAAATGATGATTGCAATCATCGTTGTATGGCCTATTACTAGTGTTGTAATTGGCAACACTAAGCACCACCCCTTGAAGCTGCAGTCTTGCAGTACACGTTGCTTGTGGGACTTTTCAGAATATTGCCAAATTGTCTGTGTTAGTTTGCCCTGGCTACCACTACTGGTAATCATTTCTTCTTTGCCGCTCTAAAAACAATACCTGCCAGTGGCAGTTCAACGCAACTGCTGATTTGGAGCAGTGAAGATATTATTTCTGGTATAAAATTTTTTTTACTAATTTACTTTTAAGACGTGGTATCGAATGGGTACATAGATTTATGTACTCCACATTGCCCGACCCAACATTTTCTGCTGTGTTGGAAGCATTTCCAATGCTGCTATGAACATCTCATGTACACAATACACTAAACTACAGAAATGTAATATATATTCAAATGGGAACAAAGGCTACCTCAAAGGAAAATCAGCTAAATAAACTGCAAACATGCTATATGGAAAGGTTTAATGTTGTTTGTAGTGTTGTCATATGTGCAGTGAGGATTAGCATATAAATAGCAGTCTTTGAGAAAATGCATTGAAAAATATTCATCATAATTTTGTTTTATTGTTTAGAAACTCCCACTCAGAGAGGACATGCTGTTGGCAGGGGGGTGGGCACCTCCCCTACTAAAGAAAAAAAACACCAATCATGTGCCTCTGTCCTCCAGGACTCCAGCTATGAGGTCATTTCACTGGAGAGCAGGTGAGGAGAGAATTTCTTTGACTTAAAAGAAAATGTATGTGTCACATTTTTAGCACCAAACATACAGCTTGCTTCAAATTTATCTCCATGTCATCACCACATTTAACATCTAATTGTGAAGACAGCTCATATCTTATGTCAGTAATCAAGACTATAAGACAAGAGGTTAGCACTATAGCTCTTTTTAAGTTATTACTATAGAAACAGATTCCTTAATATCTGTATGATTATTAGTTCAAGTTTTTCCATGAAAGGCGACTGACATTTTGTTGAATGCCTTCATTTTGCGAAAAAAGCACCTCTCTCCTGGCAGGGCAACTGCAGAGTGATTCCATAACATCAGTTGGACTGAGCTGCTTTCATTTGAATATTTTATGGGCAAAAGAGCCTGAAATAAGAAGAATTTACAGCCCTGAAAGACTGTGACATGCCAGTTTGAAACTGGAGAGAAAGTGTTTAACATTCTTCACCAAAGTCACATTTCCCTACCTCCTTCTGATAAAATAATACCTTCTTCACATGTGTATTTTGAAGATTCCCCCATGTAATGCTGCAGTTTGCTGATCCTAGTAATCATTGTGTAAAATCTCAATTTCCCAGGTCTTCCTCTGGCTTCTGTGAAAAATTTGCTGGTCATGGTGGATCTGACCCAGGCCAAGCAGAGGAGTCTCATGCAGAACAAGTAGAGGACTCAGCCAGCTACTTCCTGGACCTCAACAGTAATGGTGATCTGGTGACCCGGTCTCTGGCTGATCTGAATCTGAGCAATAGTATAGAGCTGCTCAGTGGCGGAGGATACGGCGATGAAAACCAACACTCCGTGATATCTTGCGATACAACCGAGCTCCTGCGGACACCCTCTCCATGCGGGGTACAGTCTGACCAAGAGGCAGAGCCTGTTGAGACTAAAGATTCTGCTGTGGTGGCCAGAAATGGTTCAACTGAAGAACTGCAAAAGGAGCCAAATGAGCAGGAACAGTGGGCAGCTCTCTCTTCAATTCATAACGGAAAGAGTGCGGAGTTCCCTGTACAAATGAATGGTGGGATTCAGTCAGTGAGAGACATTCCTGCAACATCTACACCTAAAAAACAGAAAGTAAATGGACACACCCTGTCCTCAGATGCTACAGAGATACTAGAGGGTCGATTTGAAGCAAGTGCCTACCACAGAGATGGCACAAGAGTAGGTTGGTACAAGTTTACTGTTTTAGAATCTCTGATAAAAAATCTGCAGATACTCCAACATAAAGCAAACAGACTTTAAACAGTCTCTTGTTTTTCTCTCCAGATGTGCAATGTGACGTGTGCAAGACAAACCTCCCTGATGGGAGCGCGATGTTCTGTGTGTGGATGAGTCGGCCTGGCCAGCAGGGGTCAATGTTGCAAACAGATCGATCACAGCACAACCAGTCAGGAGCCAGTCTCGGAGAGGTTAGTAGCAATAAAGATCTTAAGAAATAAGATAGAAGGCCGAATTATTCATGTTTATCAAAATATAAAAAGTGTTATTCACCATTTTTTCCTTTGTTTCCAGAGGATCGGTGAGGCCAGTCGTGGGGAGGCATTACGCTCCACCATGGACTTGGAGCACTCTCGAGCCTGTGACGGACAGTTTGAAGAGGAGTACCAGCCAATTAAAGCTGTGGGTAAAGGAGCCTTTGGCTTTGTCTGGAAGGCAGTAAGACACTGTGATGGACAAGAAGTAAGAACTGAATTTTATCAATGCAGAATCACACCAACCTTTAAATTTAAAGTTTGTGATGATATGGCGTTTTTATGAAATTATCATTTTACAGGTGGTGGTGAAGTTCATCGGTAAAGCCAGGATAGTGAGTGACTGCTGGTTAGATGACCCCATGCTGGGGCGAGTCAGCCAAGAGATTGCCATACTGACACGAGTGCAGCACCACAATATTGTCAAGGTAACTGGGTTGACACGTCTAAACACTTAAGTCACAGAGTTTCAGAAACATTTTTCCTCTAAAATATTGATTTGCTTTATGTTCATGTGTGTGCCACTAGGTCCTGGAAGTGTTTGAGAACGGGAACTACTTCCAGATGGTGATGGAGAAACACGGAGATGGTCTGGACCTTTTTGAATTCATTGACATGCAGCCGAGGTTAGATGAGCCCCTGGCTAGCTACATCTTTAGACAGGTATGTACAAGGATTTTGTTTAAATTGCATATTACAGTTATTACAATCATCATTTGGTCCCTGTTTAAACTGGATGCTTGTTCTGTGTTTTAGCTGGTGGCAGCTGTCTTCTATCTGAGGGCTAAGAACATCCTCCACAGGGACATAAAAGATGAGAACATCATCATCGACAAGTGTTTCCACATTCGACTGATCGACTTTGGCTCTGCTGCCATGATGGCTCCAGGGAAGCTCTTTTACAACTTCTGTGGCACATTGGAGTACTGCTCCCCAGAGGTGCTTCAGGGAAATCCGTAAGTATATAATAGTCATTAATAACAAGTGGTGTATGTATCTAAATAGGAGCAGCTCAGTGTTAGTGTCATTTACGGCTAAAAAGGGAATAAATCTCCTGTTATAATCATTAAACCTGACAGCAGAGCACTATTTTTCAGTCCTGTGTGACTTTTATAACCATTAATCTTAGCTAAACATTAGCTTCAAGGATATTCTCACTGTAAAGTTAGATGTTTTAATAGATGATAAATTGATTGCATGTTTTCCATATTCACAAGCTTATTTTAATTAATGTGTATCTCCTTGTTGGTGTGTTTTTGTAGCTATGAGGGCCCAGAGCTGGAGATGTGGTCTATGGGGGTTTTGCTCTACACTCTGCTGTTCAGTGAGAACCCCTTCTGTGATGTGGGTGAGATCCTTGGAGCCACACTCAAGCCTCCATTCCCCCTTTCTGCAGGTATACAGCAGCTCTTTCCTGTCGGCTGAAAATTGTTTTGTCTTTTACGTTATCACTGGCAATCACAGAGGGTCATCACTTATTTCTCTGTGTATTTTCACAGATCTCAATGGCATGCTATGTGGGCTGCTGCACCCTGACCCTGTTCAGAGGATGACTCTGGATCACCTGCTGCTGCAGCCCTGGATCAGCCAACCCATTTCCCTGGCAGAGTACAGCTGGAAAGAGGTGCTTCCTGCAACTCAGAGCTTTTGTGAGTATTCTTTACAACCAGGCTGACTATGGCCACTTCAGATGTGATGAGGTTCCATCTGTGAAACTATAGATTGTTTATAATGACGGATGACGTGACACTACTTCCTCCCAGATATGGTTTCAGCCGCCTTTCCTTTTTGGCGTCATTTAAAGCTAAAGTCTGCACAGTAGTGATCGCAGTGTGGAGCCGTTGTCTGCATGGAGCTACCAACGATACACAAGCTCAGCCAGTCGCAGATCAGTCTCAGCTGTCAAAGATGAAATTTCACCTCATTTTTATACAATTAAACTACTTAAAACTGAACTTACTGGAAAAATTAGCTCTTGAACAAACATCGGTGTTATATGAACTACCTTAAATGTTTAGAAACCATCTTTAGGAAAAATTTATTTAATTGTACTCACTACTTATTTTTAGTTTGGTCTGTGTCCCATTTGCTAATGGATGAGGCTGGGTTTATGACCTGTATTGCAGCCAGCCACCATCTTGCTTTTGCCAAGTCACTCATCTTTATGAACTGTCTATTTGAGCAACTAGCAATTAAAATGATTTTCCTTTAATGATGGCTTAAATCCAAAAGCATTTTAAATTCCTGGCATTTCTTGAATGTGAGAGGTTTTAGAACTTGTATTCTTAGCAAGTCTCTCTCTTCTTTTAACAGGCTCACCACAGCAACAAGAGTCCAGCCCTGTTGTTTACAATAGACAAGGCTTGTTCCCAGATTATGGTGATGAGACTCTACCTAGTGATGAGGAAGAGGAAGATGAGGAAGAGAGGTTGTCAATGGTGGCCCTGGAGACTGAGCTCCAGAAATACCTCCATGACAACTAAAGACTGAATTTAAAGGGAGGGGAGTCCAACCATCAGTCCAGCATTTGATCTGTCACTCTGCAATGATCACATGAAGTGTCAAATAAGAAAAAATAGCAATTTTTTTGCACATGGAAATTAACAAACACTATTCTGTCTTGAACTGAGTCTTCTGTAGACAAGGAGAGAGGACTCTTCCTTTATGAAGTACACACCATAATGAGCATCATTGTTAAAAAGTACTCATGGAAATATTGTGATAGCAAAGTGCAATACAGGAATGCAAAAGCATCGTCTCCAACACACCAATGTTTTTTTCTTTTTTTATTTATATCATTTTATTTATTCTTTAGCTAAAGGAAATATTTGATCAAAATCGCCGTAATGATTCACAGGGTTCCAGCATTTGTCTTTGATCGATTAAAGTTGAATATACTTTTTTTTCTTTACTAATCTATTAATAAGTATGTCTTTTCTGTCCATGGTTTTTAAATGTTTTAGTCAAAATTGTAAGTATATTTACAATATTTTATCTATTTTTGTACCTGAATAAATATATTACCACAGAGATGTTTTTCACAGTAATAATCAGATGGATTATCTTGAACTACCCAGAATGAGTTAAGTTTATTTGTCTTGCAGACATTGTGAATTTATTTTAAATGTATAACCTTTATACAACCAGTAAACACTAAATGAATCTGAAATGACTCTTGTTTTTATGTTGCCATAGCCAAACAGGTGCCACAGCAAATAATGTGTGCACTTGGTAAATAGAGTTCATTGAGTGTGTTTAAGCTGTGAACTTATATTAGAAAGCTTGTTTTGCAAATACTTTGTATCGTCACAAGTGGAAAAAAAAATTATTGCAATGATTTACTTATACATGGAATGGGTTGAAGTTATATGTGAACTATGAAATATCTTACTGATGATTAAAACAAATATCAGTCCAGCCTATCAACACTGAAACAGTTCTGTCTTTACAGTGTACGTGTAAATCTTTAAAAAGAAAGAACTCTACTGACTAAAAAAGAGAAGGTGTCAAAACTTCCCTGCTTCGAAACATCAAAACGTTTGAAGAGGCGGAACCTTTTTTTTTACGAGTTGATGGCACGGACCTATATACACGACGGACCAGCATGGGAACCACAGTGGCAGCGCAGCAGGTGAACCAGAAAGCTGGAAAATGTTCTTAATTATTTCCTTTTTACACACGTAGCGTGTTATTTAACGGTAATGAAGTCACATATTTTAGAAGCGTGGTAATGGCGGAGATAAGAAATGCCCTGCAGTGTATTAAAACCCTTTATAACCTTCATGTTTGCTAACTTGAGCTAACGAAAGCTACAGCTGAGGTTGCAACTCTTCTGTTAACTTCCGCTCTGGAGCCAAAACTGTGACATGTGTGGATCAGAGTAGCTCAACGTGCTGAGATAAAACCCGATCATAGCTACTGAAGAAGTTTTACAGCCATATTCTCTTTGCTGAAGGTTTTCCGGTGGACTGTGAGAGCTGCCGCCGCCTCCTCCTCTCTGCTCAGCCCACCTCGCACCTGGAGATGCCTCCTCCAGCCTCGACACGTCGGCTGCGGGTTCTTCTGCTCCTCCAGCAGCCGGAGTCCTCTGCAGTCATCGCACCACAACCACAGAGCTAGTCTCGTGTCTGAGACGCCAGCCACGGAGCTGTCTCCGCAGGCTCTAGCCGACATGGGATTCACAGAAACTCAGGCTGGGCAGATGTTTGAGACTGTGTCCAGAGTGAGAGGGGGAAGAGCTGCCAGACACGCGCTGTCAACCCTCACAGCTCTGCTCGCTCTGGGGCTCAATCCCTCCAGCGTCCTGAAGCTGCTGCAGAAATGTCCTGAAGTGTGCACCACCATGGAGTCACAGCTTCAGCAGCGCATAGGAAACCTGAGGAAACTGGGTTTAGTCGAAGGTGAGAACATCATCTTCATGATTCATCCTTAAAAAGGGAAAATGAACTCTGTTGATGGAGGGGTGGGTGACGTGTTTAAGTCCACTCAACACTTTCTCCTGTGGTGTCATCCAAGTGTCCGTAAGCCCTGACATTCAAATGATGTCGTTTCAAGTCAAATTTGACACTTGGATGAAACCACAGGAGAAGTATGGAGGCATTTTCTGTTTCTTTGTGGCCCCCAGTTACTTCAATTGTATTGGATTTGGCTGCAGTGCTGTTTACCCCTGAAACTCCAAAAGTGTTTTGTGGACTCCAACACGTCACCCACCTCCATCGTGGGGAGTAGATAATAAATGACTTTTCATTTTTTTGGTGAACTATACCTTTTAAAGTTCATGCCCAGAGAATTTTAAAGCAACATTGTGTGACTTTACTGAACAACAGCGCCCTCTTCAGCCACGCATGGTGATTAATGCTGTTCTATGTTCCGTTCATACTTTATAAAAGTGTTGAGTGGAGCTTTGACTGCATGGATATTCCTCATGATCAACGGCTACTGTTGTTGCAAATACACCAAACTCTATTAAGAATTTGTGATATTTAATAGTTTCCTCACAACCACAGAGCTAGTCTCGTGGAGATGATGCCTGTTTTTCTATTACCTTCTAAGTCTTTTTAACTGATCTACAGTTCGGCATTACTCTTGAATTCACTGGACCTGTTTCTGACAGTTGAAGCTGCGGCTGTCAGTCAGTTCCATACTTGCTCACCAAAGTTACATAGAACAAGAACAGACGTCCATGGTGAGAGTGCAAAGGAAATCAGCCCCATTCCAACCTCATTTTGAAGCTGCTATTTTAAAGTCAAACTTGCACAGTGTTGTTTTACTATGTAGACTGTGCTTTAAATAATTAACCTGTCTCCCCATAGGCAGTCTTCAGCGAGTGGTGGCCCATTACCCCCAGATCCTGACAGTACCTGTGAAGACAGTAAAATATGTGGTGGGGTTTCTCAGAGAGAAGTGTCTGTTCACTGGCCAGCAGGTCACAGACATCCTCAGAGACAGTCCGTCCATCGTCCTGGAGGATCCGGGTCAGGTGGAGTACATGTTTCAGGTGAGCGAGCAAAGCAAACAAGAAAAGAATGAGACAGTGCTGAAGCAAAAATAAATGTTTGTAAATAAAATCATTGTGTAGATAAGAAGAAGAAGATCCAATAATTCTCATAATTAATTTAAAACAATTAATTATGCCAATTATTGAATAATATTTGTCTGATCCACACATTTATTATTTATTTCTTGTAAAATAAATTAATAACATACAGGTTATTTTGATGTTGCAGACAAACACACTTGAGGATATAACTTTGTGTTGTGAACTTTTGATGAGTTATGAATTTATGAATATGAAAATGTATTCGTTGACTTGAATCAAATTAAGTTCAACACAATTTAATTGAACCTCTTTCTAAGGGCAGGACAAAGTTTCTGGGTTGAAATGCTGCTCTCCTTGTAAACAGATTTAATGACTTCCCCAATCTATGAGCAAAGATCAGATCAGAGGCCACAGTCATTGAAAAAGACAACACCCAACATTAACTCTTATTTCCACATTTGTATCTGGATAACGAATGATATGAACCCACATTAGTGTTTTGAAATCTCGTGCTGACAGACGTCAATCACACTTTTGACTTTCCATTCACCGTCAACCACTGCTCCCCCATTACCTTTGTGCTTTGCATTCTGGGACAATAGTTTATCTGCATAGTAATTCTACACACTGATCTTAACTTGTATGTCGTTTTCCAGTAAGAACACACTACTCACTGAAAACCTGTTTAGAACTGGTGTGTATGGACCATAGACTGTATGTTATGGACACTGTACACAAGTGTAGTGCTCCCTCTGGTGGCTTCATTTGACGTTGACAAGTCTGATGGTTGTCAAAGCATTTCAGTTATGTAATGTATGATTTTAAGATCTCCACAGAATAGATTTGTAACATTGAAATAGCTCTAAATATAATTTGTTAATACATATATTCTTTTTTATCCATCCTTCCACAGTATGCCTACTTTCGAATGGGTGTCAAACAGGCGGACATTATTAAGTCCAGGTTGTTCCGTTACTCCCTGGATGAGGTTCGATGTCGACACTGTTTTCTGGAGCGCAGGGGTCTTTACCAAACCCCAGATAAGAAAGGACAGACGATAATCATCAACCCTAAACTGGACAGCATCCTCAACGTCGACTTGAACACCTTCCTCACAGCAGTTGCGAAGGCGTCAGTGGAGGAGTACGAGGTCTTTCAAAGACTTGTGGCAAGAGAGTGGCAGGAAGAAGAAAAGGAGGCCGGCAGCATCAGCACCGATGGCACAGATTCTGAGGAGGAAGAGGAGGATGAAGAAGAGGAGGAGACAGGACGCAGGAGTGGATACAGAAAGAGAAGAAAGACATGACGATATAAGGGTCTGAAAATAATTTAAAGAGGAAATGGAGTGATTAGAGAAAATGACATCTAATGGCAAATGAAACAATAAAATGTTTCTTCTCAGCTGTTTGTCGAGGTCAGGTTTATTATTCTGTGTTTAAAATATTCTTGTCTTAAACACATGGAAACACGATGCTGTGAGGATTTTATCAGGCGTCTTCTCTTTTCAATGAACCAATGTTAGAGATCAGACTGATGGTTTGGAGTTGAGTGGTGTTTATTTAAGTGACCTCATACACACGTGAGATGCAGTGGCGTCATCACGGAGTCGGGCCATCAGATGATGACCATATGGGCGAGTTATAAATGTTTCTCTCATACATTCTTTGCTCCATCAAAAAGGTTTTGGACTCTTCCTAAGAAGTAAAGAACTGAAGAGGGAAACTTCGATATAACAATTTTAATTTTGATGGTTTCAAAAGAATTTGCCTCGACAAATGAGATTTAAAGCATCTCGGGTAGAAAATTTGAAAAATCAACAGCATGCGGAGCAGTGAAGAGGATGAAAAGCTCCACCCTGTTACTATGTTACTGCAAAGTGGCTGCAGCTTTCTCCAACCTCATGTTATCTGTATGAGTCAACAGAGAGTGCATCAGATAAGGCCAGGGGACAAGTCGAGTCGTACAAAGCATCCATTGATTTGTTGGAGTGCTAAGCTCAATGGATGTGCATCAGAAGAGAGAGTTTTCAGTTCTGGACGTCAGGTAAGAAAAACCCACCTTTGGCCGATCAATAATTTGTCAATAAGTATGCAAAGTTTGTATAGAACCGAGTGATTGAGTTTTTGTTGTGTCTTTAAGTTTTCGAGTATTTATAAGCATGTAGGAGATGGAAGATATATCATCATGTTTGTACGAAATCCTAATTTTATGCATTTAATACTGAACCCCCCACCTGAAAGTGTAGGTGAATTTATATTTGAAAATGTCAGTTTCATCAGTTCTTATGTTTTTATGCAGTATATTAAATTTATATTTTACAATGTTTCATATTTTGAGTTAATTATTTACAACTTCAGCCTTTTGAATTTGTTTTCATGTGAAATAGGGCAGAGTCCAGAGTGTGCACTTGAATTCTAGCAGTAGAATTACTAAACATGTGAACTGAACATGTTTTAATATCTATACAAGGAGCATTGCAGAGCAATCAACACTGTAATAAAGATGGAGTCATGCGAAGCAGTGCATGGAAAATGTATATACCACAGGTTTGCTCAGACTGCAATTCATCAAGATGACAGATACGAGAACAGAGTGATTGTTTAAAGACCATAATTCACAATGTAATTACTGCTGTTACTCTTCCTCGTGTGGATGTTTGATCAATTGATCGATTGCATAGCACATGGGTTATCTTAAAGAGCCTCATTGTGTTTTCATCGACACACTTAATTACCTAAAAGTGGCAAAACTGTGATGTTAATAAAAAACAAAACAATGACGCCGATAATAAATGTTTTTACAGTTTCACTTCCTGATATTAATTTGTGTTTTTTTCATTCACAGGAAGCTGCAGGAGGAAGTAATCAACACATCGTAAATCACACCTCAGTCCGTAGCCGAGACACAAAATGACATCATCAGTACTCGTGGCAAACCTCACACAGGAGTGGGTCGAGAGTCTGCAGAGGTGGCACCTGGAGTTTTTTTTCATCCCCACCACGGTCATCACCTTGGCCACCTTGTTGGCCAACCCTGTTCTCCTGGCGTGTATCTTCCTGTCCCGTGCCTTGCGGCGGGAGACACGCTACCTGCTGGTGGCCAACACCCTGATTGCGGACATGCTCTTCCTCATTCTCAACTTGGCCGTTATGATCTGCAACGCCGTGAGTGCTCAGGTCCCCTGGATCATGTGTGGGCTGTTCACAGCCGTCACCGTCACCGCGTACTGCTGCACCATCCTCACCATCACCCTCATGGTGGTGGACACCTACGCTGCTGTCCGCTGGCCTCTTCGGTACCACGACCTGCTCCCTCCTGCCCGCATCCACCGCATACTGGTGGGGGTGTGGGTTCTAGCAGCTGTGTACCCATTCACCCTGGTGATCTTGATGGAGGTGGAGAGGGGATATCCCCATGAGAAGTTGTCTGTTTGTCTGGTCCTCGTCTCCCTCGGCCTCATTCAGGTCCAGAACGTGGTAGCCATCCACATCTACTTCTTCGTTGCAGCGCTCGTCTGTGCTTTGCTCATTTTTTACTGCTACATTCGACTCTACATGGTAACAAGGACCCATGGCATCTGGCAGAGCCGCTTCTCCAGGGCTCGGGTCACCCTGCTGGCCCACGGGGTTCTGCTCCTGCTCTACTTCACCCCAGGATTTGTTTTCACCCTGGAGCTTTTCCTGTTCCAGAGGAAAGACATTAGTCAAGATGTTCGTGTGTGGGTCAGCACAGTCAACATGTGTATCTTCATGTTGCTGCCCAGAGCATTTGCTCCGTACCTCTATGGGTTGAGGTACAGGGAGATCTCTGACACTTTGATGCAGCTGCTGCATCGACACTTGGGACTCTGCCAGAACACGGAATCATAAATAACTCATCAGGACTGTTATCACATTTCTACAATGGCATTACTTGTGATATCTGGTTTTTAAAGTAGCCCTCCAACAAACATAGATACACCTGCAAAGACATTACCAAGGATTTTAGAATTAATGAGGCCATAAATGCAAATTCTCAGTGTGGCCCTTTCTTTGAATTATTCTCTGAGAAATCAAGCAAAAAAAGGAAAAACATCCTATCTCACAATGTAAAAGAAAGTGGAAAAAAAAGTCCTGGATCCACATCCTGATCTGGATCCACACCAAAATGTAATGGCTCCTTCCTTTGGTCAACCCTCTACAAAATATCATGGAAATTGGTTGAGAAGTTTTTGCATAATCCTGCTCACGAAAACATAACACCCTCAGCGGAGGAGATTGTACAAACCAAATATGTATTCTATCATCATTATGTGATGTAAAAGCCACTCAGCCTCTGTTTTATTGCTGCAGTAACAAAGCACTTAACTCCATTTGCTTTAAAAGCCTTGTGTGTTCTAAAAGGGAATCTCCATCATTAACAAATGTTTGATTGACTTGGCAGGTGACGAAGAGGAAGGAGCGAATTCCCTTATTTAGGAAGGTGTGGTGAATGTAGACATGAGTCATGGCTGAAAGGACTGATGTCTGTCTGTGTCTCTGTCTCACCTGTAACTGGTGCAACAAGTCAACACATTTTTTGTCCACTGGGCTGTGTCATTGCTCTTTCCTGCAGCAAACTAAAGAGACTTGTGTTGCCTTGCTCCAAGTCCACATGCCCCCAACCCTCATTTCATTTTTCCATCTGCAGGTGGAGCAGATGGAAAAACAACTTCTACATCGATTTTGTCGAAGAAGGCTGGCGCCCATCAGAGCACATACCTCCGCTAACTGTCCCCTTAAGTTCCATTTAAATCTATCATGTATGTTTGGACATATAAGCTGTTGATTCTCAGCTACACATTGGTGGTGTTTACATATTTCTAGTCCTATTTGTTATCATACATCTTATGAAACCACATTTAAATCCACTAGATCCAGATTTCTATTTGGATCTAAATGCATACACTCGTAATATCAGTCCCATGAATGTGCTTGATTTTTGAAAAAAAAGGAAGAAACCTCAATATTTTGTAGTATTAGCCCTTACATACTGTTCATATCATATTCATAGCATAGTCCGTGTCAATTGTATCTCAGCTCAAGAATCCTTTCATAAAAATCTTTTACCCTCAGACATATTTTCACTGTGTAAATACAGATCTGACGTTAACAAACTGGCGATAAATCCTTTAATATTGTTTCAGTTTGCAGGTAGAGTATTTCTTATGTTCTACACCACTCGTTTCCAGAGAAAAACATCTGTTACTCAATATAATGTCCTATTTTACCTAAGGCCTGAAAAACATACGGAGATAGGATGAACATTTTTAGAACTGAGAGGTTTAATATAGAACCATTTGTTCTATTTGTAATGTTACAAACATCAAACACTGGCCTCACTGCTTATTGTTATTTGTCTAATTATAACTACTAACAATAATTCGATATTAAAGAAAAATGATAACAAATTGTCCTGGAACTGTCCGTTTGTCCGCATCCATGCCAAAATGTAATAACATCTTTCTTAACTCATAGTCCCGTCCTTCCAAGATTCGTAGACTTCTATTCAGTCTTTTTGTGTGTGTGTATAATCTGCTAACAAACATATGAATAGTGATGAAAACATAAATGTTTGAGGCTCACCTTGCTTCTTCCTCATGGTCCTCTCTGATTAAACCGTTTAGTTCTGGGGAACTTGTACAGCCAGGTTCCTGGAGGCCTAAACATCATCCTCTTGCAGTTTATAGAAGTTCCTCACCTTACCTACTTCCTCATGTTGGTTATAGTGTCTCAAACTGAGGATGTTCTAGTAAGTGTTGATTACAGTTGGTGGTGTCAACAGCCATTTAAATTTACCTGTTTGGCCAAAGACAACAGAGACCAGTGAGTGTTCCTGCTCGGCATCAACGGCCTAAAAAACCCTGCATCACATCACCAGTATGGCTTTCCACCATGAAAAAGAAATTCACAAACTTAAGATCTTCCTTTCTCCATCTGAGTCTGAACAAATGTGATCCTCCATGCATTCATCTCCAGCAGTTAAGATTAATGTAATGCACTTTTTGCAGATCTTCCCAAAAAATCCAGTTCATTATACAAGTTACTTCAACATATTATAAGGCCTCAAATGTTATGGCTCCCAGATACAGTTCTGACCTGCTCATGACAACAGCCCTTCCAGATCCCTCACATCATCAAGCACGTGTCTCTTCAAAGTATCAGGTGAGGGGGCATTTGGTCACAATGGTCCTTCTCTCTGGAACAAACAGCTGTAAATGTATAGATCCCATGTGTTCTGCTGAATCACTGTGACCACACCTCAAGGAGAAGGCAGCATGTAACTCAACGAGTGTTTAGGGTTAGATAATATGAACTCACCAGACAGTATAAAACAATGATTTTCCATTTGTGCTCACTCAGATTTAACAGATGTTAAATTAAACCACAGAAAGAATAGTGTTGGACCTGAGATCTGCTGGAACCTCATCATCTTTCAAAAGCAAACTTTATGCGTGTGTGTAATGTGCTGTATGGGTGTAGCTATACATGTTTTTCCACATTGGTTATATAGTTTCTATATTTTGATTCTGAGTTGATCTCTGTATGAAATGTACTTTTAAAAATAAAAGTGATTTATTGATAAGAACGTGTTTACAGTACCACACTGTGACCTAAAGCACAATGTTTCTGATCATCTTCTCTCTCTCTCTCTCTCTCTCTCTCTCTCTCTCTCTCTCTCTCTATCATGGATGTGTGTGTACAAATTTTGTTGCATGCAGCTGTCAGTGAGTGAAGTGTGTGTGGAGGTACAGATCCCCCCCCTGTACTAACACCACAGGCTTCTGCACTGTGCAATCTGGGTCACTGTCGAGTGCTCTGGACCATTTCAGGGAACTCGGCTGGGAGCTCTGAGAAATATTTTGCAACAGGGTAAGGAAGTTGTGACATGCTTTGTCTCAGCTAGGCTCCTCCTGCCTCACCTGAACAAAACACTGTTTCATCTTGTTTTCACGTGTCCACACACTCACATTCCTGATTGTGTTGCTCATAAACATATATACGTTTTTAAATAGAGACATATACAGTGACTGTCTTTATACTGACTTTGGAAAGACGTGTTGATAAAACAAGACTTTTAAACACAAATCAAACTGAATTCAGTGACGTTTTCCAGCAGTTACAGGTATTTATTGTTGTATAAACTGTCGCGCACATGTTATAAAAGTCGTTTTATTTTTCGCGTTGTGTTGTTTCACCGCTGTCACTTCTTGTTGTCAACTTTTTCCTCCACCTAAACTTCAGTTTGTTTGCAAACAAAGGAGAGCCACGTGGAGAACGCCAAGCACCTGGGTAGTGTAGTTTCTCAATGAGGAAATCATAACAGACGCGTTCTCAGTCAAACTCCGTTACCCACGATGCATCACGGCCGCGGAGCTGAGTCGCAGCAGAGGGCTGGATGTGTTTTTCCTCCTGACAAGTATAAATGGCCTCAGTGTTTACACTTAGATATTAGAGCTCTTGTGTTGCTGTCATCGCCTCAAAGTCAAAATGTCTCCGCCGTGCAACAGCACAATGTGTTTCTCATAACTCGAGTGTTGGTAAAGACACTGGTCAAACTTTTCAGGCGACATTTGATTTTTTTTCTCTCCAGACATTTTGTTGTTGTTTTTTTCCTCCCTCCTTCACTTGTAACTGAAGAAGACGCGTCACGAGGAAACTTCTGCACAAGGTAAAAGCTTTGTTTTCGCAGTAAAGTACGTAGTTCATGTTTGTGGATGTACGGTCCCCTCGTGCTGTTTGAATTTGAGAGGAAAACAGTCCAGTCAGTGTTGTTGAGGGTGAACAGTCAGCACGAGGCCAGTCTCCTTTGTCTGATCAATACAAGTGTTGTTACCTCCTGAATACGTATACTTATATATTATTATAGTATACTTATATATTATTATAGTGAACTTCAATAGTATCATAGTATACTTCAATATCATTATAGTATACTTAACTGTCTATAATTTATACTTAAATGACATATTTTAAAACTATGATGCAATAATTACATTATTATTATCACCAATACGCACATTTAATTTTTCACTTTTCACAACCTAAAGGGTTTTACAGTGTTAGCTAAATAAAACAAGACTTTTTCAATTTCAGTTTAACGTTATTTGTTTTAACTTGTATAACAGCACACACAAAGAAAATTAGACAGTTAAAACATTGAACGACACAGTCTTATCAACACTTGAATAATGCGCTAAAATTACATATTTTTACTGGTGAAGCAGTGATATTATTGTTATTATTATATTTTATATTATTTTATGTCTTTTTAACATGTGCAACAGCTCACATTAAGATATATAATAAAAGGAAACAATATAACATAGTTATTATTACTATTATATGTTGTGTTACGTTGTTGTGTCCATTTCAATTGAAGCTTTAACTATTTACCTATTTTTAACCTGTGTAATAGCACACCATAAGACAGTTAAAACATGACACAATTACAATCAGCTTTACGTCACTCTGCGTTATTTATTGTGTATTGTCGTGTCTTATCCCTCCTCGGTGAATATTACTCACAGAGTAAATCTCTCATGCGTCAGACAACACTGGCTAAACCTGTCCTCTTGTCTAACATGACTTCAGGGAGCTGCTGGGGGCGAATAACGCACGTGAACAGTCTGAGTCTGCAGAGGCTGAGTCACTGTTAAAAATAACCTTAAGAAAAATGACCTTTCAGGAGCAAAGGTCAAACCTGCTGCCAACTTTACCACAGGCAGCGTTGCCATAGATAAGAGATTGTTTTGATCAAATATTTTCAAGAACTGGAGAATAAAACGCATGTCTAGAAACACGAGCGCATTTTTTGTCTGTAATTCATGGAGCATCTTGGTTGGTCACTATAAGAACCTTCTTTCAAATAAACAAATGTAAAATTTGGAAGGAAACTGAACTGAAAGTTATCAGTGGCTTCAACTTGTTTTTCATTATGTAGTGTCTGATAGCTTCCCTGCCCCCATGCTTCATCAAAACAAACCTGACTGACATGTAGGCCAACCCTCCCAACGGTTGCTCAGCCACTCTCCCGCCTTTACCTCCTCACCCATCTTCCATCCCATTGTCATCCGAGGCACAACTGTTCCCCAGCAGTGATGAGCTGGAGGAAGTGTCCCACAGTGTTTGTGTGCAGCTCAGATTTCTTTCCTTGAAATGGGTTTCTTGACATTTTAGCAAAACCCCCACAGGCAGCAGAAAAAAGTTTGTGTATCTCCAACTTCTGTACACAGCTTTGTGGTAATGTTCCATGAGAGCTTTGTTTTCATGCAATGAATGTTTTCAATTAGTTTTACAGTGATCCGATTAGCAGTTATAAATGTGTTTCATGGTTATCCCCTCTGACAGAATTCATTGGTAATCTTTTGAAGTGATATTTTATGGAAGCATGTATTTTCTTCTCTTTGCCCTCAGGTCATCTTAAAGTTGAGAGAAGGTCTACGTTGAAGGTGGCAGCCATGGTGTTGATTCTGGGCAGAAGAATGATCAGGGAGGAGCCAGGGATCAGAGATTCACCAGCTGTCAAACGCAAGGTGCTGTGAAACAAAAGATTTCTATCGCTTTCTATTTAACTCACACATTTTTGCTAATCTTTATACATGTTGTTGTTTCCCCAGGTTTTTGAGGTTGATTCCAAGACTCTTGTCAGCCAGGATGTCTTGGACTTCTGCTCTGGCGCATCCCACTCCGAGGGCATCCTGCAGGTGTTCAATGAGTTTCGCGACTGCCGCCTGTTCACTGATGTGGTCATCAGCGTGCAGGGCCGCGAGTTCCACTGCCATCGCGCTGTGCTCTCCGCATGCTCCTCCTACTTCAGAGCTATGTTCTGCAATGATCACCGCGAGAGCCGCGAGATGCTGGTGGAGATCAATGGCATCCTGGCCGAGGCGATGGACTCCTTCCTCACCTATGTTTATACTGGCCGTGCAAAGATCACCACTGAGAATGTCCAGTTCCTCTTCGAGACCTCCAGCCTCTTCCAGATCACCACACTGCGCGATGCCTGTGCAAAGTTCCTGGAAGACCAGTTGGACCCGTGCAACTGCCTGGGCATCCAGCAATTCGCAGATGCTCATGCCCTGAAGCAGTTGGCCAGCCGTTGCCGCAGTTACGCCCTGGCCAACTTCTCAGAAGTAGCTCAGCACGAGGAATTCCTCGACCTGCGCAAAGAGGAGCTGGAAGAGTACATTGCCAGCGATGAGCTGTCCATTGGTAAGGAGGAGGTCGTGTTCGAGGCCGTGATGCGATGGGTGTACCACAGCGTGGAGAACAGGAAGCCCATGCTGAAGGCCCTGCTGCACCATGTGCGCCTGCCGCTTATGCACCCCAACTATTTTGTCCAGACGGTAGAGGGAGATCAGCTTATCCAGAATGCTCCAGAATGCTACCAGCTCCTCCATGAGGCCAGGCGCTACCATGTGCTAGGAAATGAGATGATGTCACCCAGAACTTGTCCACGCAGGTAACTGAAATGTTAAGTAGTTCTGATGAAGGCAGAGGGAAGATCATCTGTTCTAGATGTTAAGGAACACAAATCTTTGTCCTGTGTTGACGTTATGACTTGTTAGTGTGATTAAAAGTGTAGAGCGTATGCTGCTTTGAGGTCACATGAATGATTGCGCATGAACTTTGTGCTCCTTCTGCCACTGTTGTTGTATGTGTAACTGCGAGTGTGTGCGTGTGAGAGAGAGAGAGAGAGAAAGGGAGTGTTTTTGTTCATGTTTTTGAAATGGAAATGATAATGAGGTAGGCAGGGCATGTTCGTACACAGACAGGTTTGATGGACATTTTTGAAAAAAACAAAGTGATTTGACGCAAGATGAAATGTTGAGTCTTGTTATCATGGCAGCATATGCTGATATATCTGGGTTCTGAGCCAGACCTATATATCAGTCAGCCAAGTTTATCAGTTATACATTAGTGTCTGAGAATCTGCTCTCTGATAAGAAGACTTATGTAGAAAAGATGTTTGGTGAAATGGTGAAAATACAATTAACAAAGAAAAGATGCTTTGTGCCTAATGTAGCTGTTAGTTAATCCCCACTACAACTTATGTGTACACAGCACAGAACTGGTCTCTATACACAGAGTGTGGTCTTTTATGTTTTTTTTATTTGAAGAGAGTCCAGTTGGCTGTTACAATGTGATATTTGATAACGAACAAAGGTTGCCACTGACTGAAACGCTATGAATGAGAGACGAAATACACCATCTGGTCGCCTGCTGTGCTATAGCAACAAACGGCCGCACAGCTGCCTTTGTGTGTTGGACCTGCTGCAAGGGTTAAAGTGGAGCCGGTGCCAGTCATCATATATTAAGGATGTGTGCCGTGTATTTCAGGTTTATTGTGTGATCTGTTCAGATCAGCGAGCTTAGTTCCCGCACTGTTGGCTTTGTTTGCCTCGAGGGCCCAAACCTCTCCTGCTCAAAACAGATGCCTGATTCTCTACTTTCTCTGTCCACACCTGTGCTTCAGTGTTCTCATGGGAAGCCTGCAGCATCTAATTAATCACTCGCACACACATCACGTGAGCAAGCAGATAAACCTGAATCGCTCCTGGGCTAGACAGTAAACACATGCATATAAATATATATATATACTGTCAATGGGTGTGAGCTTATATTCACTGTATGTGTGAGAATCTATACATAGAAAAAGAGCTTGTAGTCTCTATGTGGTGTCAGTGTTTTAGGCTGAAGCTGCAGTTGATTACCTGCCTGTAGGAAATGTGGTCATAGTCTAGGCATTTGTCGAGCAGCCAAATAGGAAAGAATTGTAATCATGGAAATGGAGCTCCCAAGTCTGTTTTTTGTCACATCACACAGACCCTTTTAAGATTCAACATTCAAAACTTTATTGTCCAAAAAATGCAGGCTTTAATGAATATGTATCTCTCACTGGTGTATGACACACAAATGAAAACAGTAAGGTACATAAGAAGACACAAAACATTACCTGGAATAAAAATTAAGAATAATGCAGAATACTGTATAGTGACAGGAGTGTTTTTTTCTTGTTCTATTCCTCTGTCCACCCCCATCCCCCTTTCATCTGTACAGGTCGACCGGCTTCTCTGAGGTGATCGTGGTGGTGGGCGGCTGCGAGAGGGTGGGGGGCTTCAACCTGCCATACACTGAATGCTATGATCCAGTCACAGGAGAGTGGAAGTCACTGGCTAAACTTCCTGAGTTTACCAAGTCAGAGTACGCTGTCTGTGCCCTCCGCAACGATATTCTGGTGTCAGGTGAGTTCCACATTTGTCACAAATAAATTCATTAGCACTGTAACATCCAAGGCTTAAAATAAACAAACAGAAACTTAACTTCGAAGTTCAACCCCTATAGTATCCTTTACTATGCACCTACTTCTTCTGTGCTTAGACTGTATGTTCTTTGTTGTTATAAAGTCCCGCTTCTCTAATATTAATTGCTTTATATCCAAAAACAAATTCCACTGAAGGGCCATGGTCAGTGTGTGTCTGTGCTTCACACGCCATTAGATCTCACTGTGGAGTGGCAGGAAAGACCTTGGTGGCTCATTGCCCTGTGTTAACTTTACAGCCATGTTGAGTTTGAGATGAAGGAAAATATGAGAGCAACATCTGGATGCACTCTCCAGGCTCAGCGCTGAGAGCAACCGTCATTGGCTTGCTCAGTCCTTTGCCCTTCCTGTTGGCCAATCATCAAGTTCACCACCTTTTACATCTATTCAGCAGCTTTCTAGGATCCTCTTTGTGCCAAAACCTAACAACCACTTTCAGTTTGAGACTACAGCCAACACACTGTGGTGTAAAATAAAGTCCCAGGGCCTCTTGGCAAAGCTGTGGCATATTTGGAACTTAGCATGTGCATTCGGTGAAAAAAAGACCTACACTAAACAAAACATTATTATTATTACATCATTCATTTTGACTAATGAGGTCAGGGTAATGGTGGCTGCCAACTCAAACAATGATTTGAATATGTGCTGTGCACAAGATGCAGTTTTGTCAGGTTGTTGGACTGAGAGCAGGAAGATCACTTTACATTGACTCAAGTTTAAAATGTGCCTGATAGGAATACTCATGCTCAGACAGGCTTCATATGAACTGCATGACACTAGTTGAAGAAAGTTTAAACTTATGTGTGGGGGTGGGGGGACGAGACTATAGAGGACAAAAAATGTTCCTCGCCTCAGTCGAGAGTGTGCAGTGCTTTTTTTGTGCTCTCACTGTGCCAAGTCCTCACATGTGTGCTATCAGGCTGCCTGGAAAAGTCAACATACCCCTCCCTCCACATCTCTCTGTCTCACACTCACAAGGCTCACTAATACTTTATACTGTATTATAATCTTCATTGCCCCATTTTCCTTCGTTGTCTGCCCCTGTCTGTATTTATTCCCTTTTTCTCAGCTCAATCCTTATCTTGTTATATCCCCACACATCTGTCCGGCCCTCTCCTCGCAGTGGGAACAGGTGCATGTACCTCACAGATTCTCTGGCCTCTAGCACAGCTGCAGTTAGCTGTGGTCCTAAAGAAGGATGTGGCTCAGTTGGGTATAGAAATCTTCTAAAGCGTTTCTCTCCTCGACAGCGTCTTTGGCCACTGCTGACTTTAAATCCAAAGTACTTCACCGAGCCACTTCGTCTGGCTTAACCACGGAAATGCCTTTGAGTCCAGGAGTTTAGATTACAGTCAGCAGGCTCTCAGTTATGATCTGATCCCAGAAGATGAAATATGTACCAACGTGAAATAACAACAATTTGCATTGACTTTGGCCTCCGGGAGGGCCAAAGTCAATGCAAATTGTTCCTAAAGAACAGTGATTAGCAGCTATGGTCACTCCCACCTGAGAGGCGGTTTTTCTAACAAGCTGTGTACGTCCACAAAAGTCTTTGAAGCTGTACATCTTCCATCAAATAGTTTCCGTCATGCAAATCTCTACAAACAGAAGCCTCAAGGGCAGCAGACTGTCTGGCTCTTTCACTATCCAGCAGATTACTGAGTGCACACGCACACACTTTGTGACAAACTTCCTTCTCTTGTCTTCTCTAGTCTGTGTTCTACTGTGTAATTTAAGATGACTGAGCATTAATTAACTTATATTAACCACCCACACAAACACACACACAAGACAGATGTGGTAGACATGGAGGTGTTTTCTTTAGGATATCTGTCAACTATCTTACAATATGGAATACACTTTTTTTGCACCAGGAGACGAGGTCTAGACACCTTTGTTTACACTGTTAGGTTTTCTTTATGTCTTTCATTGCTCCACAGAACCACCCAAATTTGTGTCTCTGTCACAGCAAAATGGGACTGACTGACATTTTGTGTTGTTTTTAGTTTCAGGTATCTGTATTTCATTAAGAGATATCACCACCATGTGATCAATTTAAGTCCTGGTGTGAAATAACACAGATTGTCACTGACCATTCGGTTCATGTGCTCGATTTGTACCCATGCTACACACATGCTCCACTGTATACTTCTCTAGAGTTTATTGTTGGACAAAAGCATCAGATAACTGCTACCAGTTTTAAGAGCCCTGAGGCAATTGATTCTTAAAAATATTGTTGTCGTGATAACGTTTCTCTTCTTCAGACTTACAGCGTTGTTTCCCAGTTAACCGACATTTTATCTCCTGTCTGCCGTGACTTGTGTTGATTAGTTTTTTTTTCTGCAGTTCAGAGCTAAATCAACAGACAGGTGTGTGCATGGTGATGGTGATGGAGTGTTGGAGGATTTATTTAGCGAGAGAGGCCAAGGGTGCACATGTCAGGGCTTGTGAAAAAAACATGTCCTGGTCTGTTGTCTTTCTCTGTAACTTCTCAAAGCACTCTCTGTTTGTCCAGAGACATCAGAACAGGTACTCAGTGATAACGTATTAAATGTTATTGTGTTATAGATCTGTTAACTGCCAAAGATCCTGATTATGCTTTAAACGATGGTTATTTTGATGTTAACACACAATCCAAAGCTGGCTGTCCACCAAGAGCAGCTGGGTATAAACTTATTTTTTCTTTTTACTGGACTATATGAAGGTCAATATTAACAACATAAACAATCTCATAGGACAACCGAAAACAGTAAAACCGAATATCAAAATGTTCCTAGCACAAAAGGACGATAAAATAAACAAAATACAAAATAGAAAAATAACTTGCCTAATGGGGTATAGCTTAAATCTTAAATACTGACAGTTGTGTGCCATCTCTGTGTTTTTTGGTGTTTTTAGGTGGTCGTATCAACAGCAGGGATGTGTGGATGTACAACTCGCAGCTCAACCTCTGGATCAGAGTGGCTTCTCTTAACAAAGGCCGCTGGAGACACAAGATGTGTGTCCTCCTGGGCAAGGTAAGGACTGGAGGGAGTCTCAAGATCTATGCCTCTGCTTTAGGGGGAATGACAGCCCCCCACCATAGAACAGATGCATCTGATGCAGGAACTGATTTATAGTTCAGTGTCAGATTTCACTTGCTGACATCACCCTTGCAACAAAAATAGCTGAGCCATATATTTTCCTGCCCTCTCGCATACCCAAAAGGAGTCATGGTAACATTTTTCATTTACCTCATATAGTTGCGCCTCTGGAAACGGTATGACAAAGTATAAATGTGTACACTCTCGTTTGCAGTGGAATTGACTTTGCTAGATCATAAAATATGTTGTGTTGTAACACTGTAGCACAGTGTTCAGCCATTTAACCTACCGAACATTTCTTCTGCTGTAACTTAAAAATACAAGTTAAAATCCATTTTAGCTCTGTAAAATGTAATATTCTCCCCCATAAACATACAAACATTGTAGATTGATTGTAGACAGGAAAATGTGACACACACTTTCAGAAATATGAAATGGGAGTGTTTCATATTCTCTTCATCACCTGGTATTTACTTATTCCAGGTGAAGTGCAAGGGGGATGTTATTTACACTTTGAGAAAATGATTCTGCTGAACTGGAATTTTCCACGGAATGTTTCTTTCTAGTCATACCTTTCACAATCATATGCATCAACCCATTGTTACACGTACATTCTCTTATCTGCACGCTCAAAGGAATTTCTTTTTAAAAATACCAAAGTCTTTGCACACTGAGTGATGATTGAGATTTGTTTGTGGCCCCAGGGTTTTTTTTTTCTAACCCACTGGTGCCAGCTCATCTGCGTATCATCCTGGATAAATATTTTGTCTTTATTTGCCTGCATTGCAACCGGGTAGGCAAAGGCAGTTACCATGGGGCCCAGAGAACAGCTGATTAAGTCATTTCGCAGCATTGACAATCTTGTGAAATCCCCCTTAAGTTCTTGGATTGTCTATGTACAGGTAGACTGCAGTGACACCACAGTCGCCAACCCCTAACAAGGCTTCATGTTACGAACTTTCTGCCAAAAGCCTCATAATTTTAGAGTTTTTGTTGAAAACTAAAATGTCTTTCATATATCATGTGTTTCTTGAGGTGGTGGGGGGGCAAGGTGGAAATTTGAGTTCAGTTAATGTCTACACGTGACTTGATCACTAATCCTCGATCACTGTTTACGTTTTCGAGCTGTTGCTATTTCCAGTTTGCAGCATAGGGCCAGGTGGACATTCTTGTTCGAGGGCAGTGGGAGTTAAATGGATGTCTGCCAGCACCTCATACTTTACCAAGAAAAGAACGCGCTCACTCCGCTTAACTGTATCGTGCTTCATGTGTCTCTGCTCAATCGCTTAAGCCTGGAGTGGCCATACATAGCAATTATAACTCCTGATAGGTCTGTAAACACAGCGGGTATCCATGCACAGGCAGAATTTAGCATGCGTGTCTGTAAATGTAAACAGTACAAGGCTGCCCATGTCCCAGTGTAATGCTGCACATAGGGAAGAATAACTATAAATAACTATATTCCTAGAAAATGTTTGTTGCCACATGTGTTTTGAAATCTTCCCAAACTAGACAATCAAGTTTGTTTTCATTGCGTAGAATTTACCATCATAATGCAGAACAAATGTTGCCCACTGGTGATACAAAAGCATGTTTACTTCAATAAAAGTTCCCCAAATGTAATCATCTGTTATTAGTGTTGCGTAAAAGAGGAGCAGCCAGTGATTGTCTTGGTTAAAGCAGGCACAGCATAATAGAGATGACACACACCACTCGCAGCCATGTTTAGTCATCATATATACAAGTGATCACACTTGAAATACAGGGATTCATTGGAAAGTATAGGCTTGAATAGTGCTGTATTTTCTTGGTCAGAAAGGGCATGACTCAGGAGGATTTTTTGTCATCTGCAGCAATGGTTCAAACATACTACTTTTTTTATTTTTGGATATATACTTGAGGCCAATCTGCACTGGATCTTCTGTGACTTTCAAGCAACACCCAAAATGCTTTGTTGCCTCACCACCAAAACAACAAACACATGATCAGCGATCAAACTAGACGCTGGTTTTCCACAACAGTGAGGAAATCAGTTGAACATCTGCACTGGGGCTATAAAGTCAGTCATTATCTCCAAAGTGGGTCATGTATCAATGCATGGTGAAAACAAGTCTAATTGACTCAGCTGTTGCCATTCAACTTCACTATAGAGGAAGCCAAGTTGAAACTTCATAATCTTCAATTGGCTGAACTCCCATGCTAAAACAATTTGATGATGAAATAAGATGGTGTAGTAGATGTTTTTGGTCAGTTGTTCCATTAACACATATCGTATTTTTGTATTCAAGTCCAAGGCCTCAAAATTAGTGGCTAAACTGTCATAACAGTCACACAAATCACTAGATCCCTCAATCGAGCGTAGACCTCTGCCAAGGCCCGAGAGTCCCCTCAAAGTAAATCAAGCCGTCACTTAAACATACCTGATTCTTTTATTTGTCAAGATCCATTATTCATCCCCTGGGAAATCAGTGAAAATATCCAAAAATGCCCCATTTCCAATATTAAAAAAAGTTATGGTTTTAATTATGGTTCTGCCCTGTCGTCTGAATCCACTCACATTATATAGTCCTTTCACCAAATATATTCACATACACACACACACATCTTGTTGTTTGTGGAGAACTGCATTCTGTGGTGATGTCAGTTCCCAGGAGATGCTCTTGTAACGACATGTGGTTTCTTCTATTCTTTTGTCCTCACATTTTTCTCTTTGTTTCATCGTTTTCCTTTAGAACCCTGTTGTCCATGGTATTTCTTTTCCTCATGTTTCTTCTTTCCACTGAATGTTTCTTGTTATTGTTTCATTCCAGGTTATATTTTTCGTACTTTATCAAAAAAACCTACAGTAACTCTTTAGGATGTCATGTCATTTTTTCCTCGGAATTCTCCTCCTCCTGACTTGTCGGTCATTTCCTCTTTCACTCTGTAATTTCCTTCTCTTGAAGTGCAACACTGTTTCCACAGCAACATGTGCTGTAAACAAGCCTCTTTAATGGTCATGTATACATGCATACTGCATTGATTGCTTTACTCCTTGTCGTAACCTAAAGTCTAAACCTCCACAGTAGGTATAAGAATATAAGTGAATTAGTAGAAGAACACACACTTCTCTGTGTCCTACGTTCAGTCATGTCCTGCTGAACTGACCTTGTTTCCATAGAGTAAAAGCAAAAATAGGTCACCACTTGTTTTCTTCTCCCTGTTATTGCTGCACATGGTGACGGTTGTTCTCATCTATCGTAATGTTTCACTCTATCTCTCTCTTTCTCTTTGTCTCTTTGTCTCTCTCTCTCCCTGTCCCTCTCTCTTTTGCTCTATTCTCCTTCCCCTGAAGTCACCCGGTCTCTTGTGTTTCTACTTCTCCCTTCTCTGTTAGGATGTTAAGGAATCATTCAACCACGGTCAGTGTTTAAATGTGCTCATAAAATAAGCCATGAATTTGCTTGTTGAGTGTCAGTCTGCAGAGAGTCATGAAACTTATTCGGCTCAGTGTTTATGTGACGGCCACATACCTCGGTTTGATGCAGAGCATGTGCTTCCATCATCGACCTAATGTGAAATGTGCCTATACTGATGTACTTAACACTTTCATGGTGTATTAGAACCACGTGCAGTGTTTTATCGAGTGTTTGTGGAGCGCTGAGGCCAAAAAGAAAACTGATCTAGTGCCCCCCAACCCCCACTCCCTATCACCAGTGTATTCAAACAAGTTAGTGCAGGGAAGCCAGGGTTGAAAACATACCCTCCTTGGTGGAGCGAAATATCTTTGTAAGCATTTCATTCTGGACTCGTTATCTTTATGTCTTATCAGTTTGATAAACACACACACACACAGTACTGAAATAAAAAGAGATCAGCTGATCCCTCCTCCCATAGTCTTATCCTGTGAATTGCTGGGTAAGATTGCTGTGTTGTTGTCACTGAAAACACATGGAGACACTAACACCACTTTAGAACCACAGTCTAAGATTTTAGGGAAACAGTCAACAAGTGCCTGAAGGTGTTTTCCTCTGTATCACTTTTTCAGTTAAAAAGGCGGTAGTGCTTTCAGTGAGTCCAGGTGTTGAGTGCAAATATCCATGTGCCACTTCTGTCTTTTTGTTCCTCCTTCCTCCTTCCTCCCTCCAACTGTCTCTGTCTTTGTTTCTCTCCCTTTTCTCCACCCCCTCCACCCCTCTCATCTCTCCTCTGCACTTGTTTATGCTTCACATTTTGTAGAAAGACAGGAACAGCCTGAAGGTGAACTGTTGCATAAGACCAACCTGTTGATTAGCAGTGTTATGATTATAACCAGCAATGCTGCCCATTGAGTATCCTTGAAATGTGATCTCCAGTAGGTTATTGACGAAATAGGACTTTGCAATAAATCTCTACCTTTAACTATTTTTATATATATATATATATTCCTGCCGCTCCAAGAGGGTAGTATGCATAACCACGGGGCACTTATTAAAGTGCATATCTTTAGCCAACACAACTCTCCAGCTTGCAATGCTTTAGATTTGAGAGAGGTTTACACAATGACATTTTATCAAACAAATTTAAAAAAACATACAATATCTAGTTTCAAAACCCTAAATTGTGCACGATAATGGAAATGAACAAATTCATATGAAAAAGTACACATTCAAAACATGATTTTCTACTGAGAGACTCATCGTAGGTGAGAATAATTTATGAACAGCATTGTCAGGGATGAAGTCACCAACAAATTCACACAGAGGTATAACAAGACAAAACTGAGTGTCAGTGTAATGTTGAAGTTCAAGGTATGCAAATACATCAGTGCCTGCAGTGATACAAGGCAGGTGTAGGAGGAAAAAGGACTGGAATAATGGTGGTTGTTGAGAAGAAGTACGTCATCTTTCTACTGCACCTGACAGACTGGTTTTTTAAGTGCTGGCATAGACACTATTGTATTCATGAACTAGTAAGCTTGAATACAAACATCTTTTGTTTATCTAATAATGTGAGTGTTCATCTGCGCATAGAGTCGATGAAAATATTTCTATCACAAGTAAACACAAACACAAAGTGGCCCACATCAGATGTTTCAATCTGGCAATTACAGCCCTTCCTCTAATAGAAGAATGTTTGTGTCTTCGTCCTCAGGTCTATGCCGTGGGAGGCTATGATGGCCAGAGCCGCCTGAGCAGTGTGGAGTGTTATGACTCCTTCTCCAACCGCTGGACAGAGGTGGCACCAATGAAAGAGGCAGTCAGCTCTCCTGCAGTGGCCAGCTGTGCCGGCAAGCTCTTTGTCATTGGAGGAGGGCCCGATGACGAAACTTGCTCAGACAAGGTGGGAAACAGATGTGTGCTGCTGCTCCAACCACACACTTGAAGCACATAGTTATAACAGACAAGGTGCCTTTTGTGTCAGATAACCTGTATTCAGTAATTATACCTTGAAGACACAAGGGATGAGAAAAAAACATCAAAATAGACAAATCACAGGGTTGTCTGAGCAAAATCTCGACGTGTTGGGGACAAGAAAGATTTTTTACGTTTGTGTAATAAAGCTTCCTGAGTTGCCAAGATTAGATTACTAAACTTTTTTTTAGCCTGTTAAAGGAGATTGAGGAGATATGAGCTACAGTACAAAAACAGGAATTGCATCTTTTCCTGTTAAACATCACTGATTGATGAATGACATAGTTTTTCTTAATTCATTATATCCTGGTCATTATCTGCATGCCAATTTTTAAATGTTGCTGTATTACAAGTTTATTTTCGCCTCAGTTGCAGACAGAAAACCATTTACTCATGAGATTACAGTTATCTGCTTTGAAAAGGCAAAATAACATTTTTAAATTGAAAGAAACAGGTAACAGTAATCAAGATTAACATTTTGGAGTTTAGCAATAAGAGGATTGTATAGATTAGATCATTTGTCATGCTAAAATCCGCCACTGTATAATACTGTGTTTAGATAACCCCAGTGATCAGAGCATGACAAAGTTTCTCTTGCTGCATGGATGACTAGATGTGGCCTAAAGAGAATAGAGATTATGGTGGCTCCACTTCCTTTGAGGCTCTTATCTCTGAAGTCTCTTTACAGGGCCAACCAATAACATTGATTCCAAAGATTATGTATTACTGAAGAGAGATCCTAAGCATGTGTTGTTCACATTGGCTGTAGTCAGATAAAATTGTTCCTAAAGAGGCTATTTGAAAGAGAAGTGGTGAGAGAATAATGAATGACCAAAAGTGTCACGGAAATAGTCAGGAAGCATGAGAGGTTCAGTGTGTAAGATTTGGGTGAAAGGGATCTATTGGCAGAAATTTAATATAAAATAATTTTGGTAATTAAAGTGTGTTTCATCTAAATTGTATGAATTGTTGTTTTCTTTACCCTAGAATGGACCCTTTATATTTAAATACTTTATACTTTTTCATTAGTCCAGACCAGACAAACTAAATGCCTTTTGAGTCTTTATGATAACATCAGGCTACCACAGGTTCTCTGTCATATTTAGAAGGGGAAGGTGAGATGAGGGGTGTTCAACTGCAACATGCAATTTCACCACTAGATGTCACTAAATTTTACACACTCAACCTTTAATAACTTGTAGGAAAAAATAGGCATTAATAGATAATTTAAAAGTCAAGCTATTTTTATTTCTTTCCAAAGCTCTATGCTGGGGCCCCTTCTCTTTGCTGTGTACACCACTGGGGTTCAATTATCCACTTGCTGCTTCACAGATGACACATAATTATACCTGTCTTTCAAACTAAATAACCCCCACGGCCTTGAAGACAATCTCTGCTTGTCTCTCAAACATATCTTCTGGATCGTCACCTTCATCTAAACCTCTCCCAGATTGATATGAGTATGTATTAATATTAATTAACAAACTATATGTAACTGTATGTCACAGGTTCAGTGCTATGATCCAGAGGAAAATTCTTGGTTACTACGGGCCAACATCCCCATCGCCAAGCGCTGTATCACGGCAGTGTCCCTCAACAACCTGATCTATGTGTGCGGTGGCCTCACCAAGTCTATATTCTGCTATGACCCCGTAGAGGACTACTGGATTCATGTGGTTCAAACCTTTAACAAACAGGTAATAGATTACATGAAAACACAAAGCACTTAATGAACAAACTGTTAGACCTCACCTACAAGAATCCAGGGGTTTTGTGCACTGCCAGCCTACAACCTTTTATTTCTGTCTCTCCCCCTGCAGGAGAGCTGTGGCATGTCAGTGTGCAATGGTAAGATCTTCATCCTTGGCGGCAGAGGGGAAAGTGGTGAAGCTACAGACACCATCTTGTGTTATGACCCATCGTCAGGCATCATCACCGGAGTGGCCGCCATGCCACGGCCAATCTCCTACCATGGCTGTGTCACCATCCACCGCTACAATGACAAGTATCACAGGACCTGACAATGATTAAACACACCGACACACTTACTCTCACATGAGAGCACAAACTATACAACTTTAATTCTTTGAAATTCACGTTGTTCACGCTTACCCCATGTACAGCACAAATACAGTTTCATACTTTTTCTTACAACGGGCACATTTTATCACCCCTTTAGTTTATGTAATTTTTCACAGCTTCATGTAGCAGTTGTCGATATGGTGCTGTAAAATTTTCATTGTTGTGCACCATACTTATAATAGCCCTTCTGTGAAAATGCTTAGAGGTTGATAATGTTAATGAATTGCCTGGATAAAGTGGAGTTAGATCAAAATGGCAGATTTGTCTCGCATTAGTAGTAACTGCACAAGGTTGGGGAGTAATGGATCATGCAGGATTAAAGAAACCTGATCATGATTTATGTTATCAATGTGATTGCAGATATCCAGGGAAAACATGACTAGTTGTTGAGTTCTCAACAAAACAAATTATGCCAGTATGAATACAAATTTAACCTTGGAGATTACTTATTTACCTTTGGAAAACAGGTAAGAAGTAAGATATTGTAATAAGAATTTATAAACTTACGGTTCACATACTACCCATAGCCAATCAAGTCTTCTGTTTACATCTGACCCTCGATCTGCTGAAGAAGCCCTTCAGGTTTAAAACTCAATTAAAAGCTAAGCTAATGTTAGTTCAGAATGTTTTCTCACAACACTTGTAAACATTCTTAAAAAAAATGAATTCTGCTAGAGGATGGTAATCTTATGATTCATACAGTTAACATTTTGCCAATATAGCCAAACATTTTTACTGTGATACTGGTTACGAGCCGGTAATAAGTTTAACAGTGAACTTCCCAACAATGTGCTTTTATTACTATAAAAAGAAACCTCACCTTGAGATCTGGGTACCTGACGAGCTAAAGCGAACACTGATAGTGCTAATGAACAAAAACAGTGCCTTGTAGTAACAGTTACCAAGAATCCATACAAAGCCCAGAGTGATCTGCCAGCAGAAGCAAAAATTATGAGAGAAAGATGCAGCCAGGTCAAACATCTGACCTTGTGACCACTGCACTCCATGCAGATGTGTAGATTCAGTAGAGCACAGCACTGGTAAAGATTATTAAAAAAAAGTACTGTCCTCAATTTTTATCTCTTTTCCGTGACACTGAAATGGACCTGTTAAAAATGTGGTGAACAGTCAGCCAGCTGCTCATCAGTCGTCATAAATACAAGTTGCTCTTACCCAGGGTTAGGAGAAGAGATAAAGAGTGGAGGCTGTAACATATAAAAAACATATATTGGAACACAGCCACTATTAGCACTGCCCACTTGTTTCCTTTTGTCTCATACCCCTGCACTTATCACTTAGTTTCACATCCTGTGTGTGGTTTTTATTTCCCGACTCCAGCTGTGTCACCATCTCACATTGATATCTACTTTTTAAGCTTTATTTTTTATCATTATTGTTATTACACTCATTCCTGACATTTTTGTTTCTTTATTTTTAACTTATACATAATTTTTACTTTTTTATAATTGGATGCGTGTTGTTTTGTCTGTAACTTAAGTGTGTCTATCGACGTTCGTTGATTGGTGGACTGGGCTTGTGAGGGGTTTTGTAGATGTGAGAAGCCTTTGTAGATCAAACTCAAAGACTGTTTAGAATAAGTGGTGTGTTTGTTACATAGGCTAAATGTAAAGATGGACGACATGACGGCTCCCCAAAAATGAAGCCAAAGCATCTCGATAGCCACCTGATGGGTAGCTGCAGTATAGGTCATATCCTGTCTCCTCTGTTTGGAGTGGATGGGATATGGACCAAACTAAAAAGTCAAAGTGCACATCAAATACATGGACAGGACGGACCCAGACTCTGGCTCAGCATTTGTATTCGGGAAATTTTTGCTTCCTGTCTGGATAGAGGGAGAAAGTGGAGAAGTGTCTTGCATCTTTATGTACAGTCTATGATTTATTATGCATGTATGTATATATGTATGGGTCTGACTTTTATGGTTCAGTCTGGATGTGTTGGACGTTCCAGTGTAAGCATTACAAAGACTTACTTGTGTTAACAGAACTCTGATGCTGGCAACTCTCACCTGTACCGTACATGTAATGATGTAACTCGGGGTAACCATAGAGACCTCCAGGTGTGTATGTGTTGATATGTTTACTGGTCATCTAAGGTGGCGTGTGTAGCAGTGCTATACCTCACGGGGGGAATTCAGAGTTCTGAATGAGAAGGATTGTCAATTGAGTGGCTTATGGTCAGTAAAAGTCACCTTTTTACAAGATTTGGTGTTGATAGAGTAGAGATATTGCTGTGAACATAACTTTATTCTTTTGGTTTCTTTGTTTAACCGGTATTTAAATGTGTATCTTTCTTGGTTACATTATTGTCTAAAACTAAGAGCCCCAATTGTGCACTTTGACAGAATCCTGTTAAATGTAGAATAATATGATAATGATTTCCTTTGTATTGTTTTACTGTATCAGTAAATGTTCTTTGCTTTCATGTGACGTAAGAATCGGGGCCTGTCAGCTCCTCCTGTTGGCCACCACCTGTCATAGCTCTATAAAATAACAAAACAACAAAGTTAGCTGCAAGAAAATAATGCCATGGGTGAGTAAGAGTTTAAACTTTATGGTGACAGGTCAGGGATTTGCTTCCGTCTGTCAGTCACACTGACAAAATACGGGGGTGTGGGGGACTTCAGCCTAAACCATCCCTCAGGCATTTTTTGAGAAGGTCATCAACTGTAGCACACGCTCAAAGTAAACATCCCCAGGCCCTCACATCCTCCTCCGAAGAGTGACATCCTGAGGGTTACGCAGGAGACCAACAAGAGGAGGCTAAGGGCTGAGGAAGTGGTAACGCAAAAGAGATGGAGTTTGTGAGAGAGAAAGAGAGAGAGAGAGAGTTTAAGTGTATGTGCGTCTGTGATTTCACCGAGTATTTGATGCAGAACGTGACACTGTCCTTTAATGTTGATTAGTTACTGTGTTGAGACTTTCATAAACTGTTTATGCTTTTGGATAAGATTGTGTTAATGTTTCTTGATTTATGTGGTGAATTCTGGGTCTGTGTGTTGCCATGATATTTTAAGTCCCACACACTAACGGCATGCCTTACGTGAAACTCTGAAGAGCAGAGTTTTAAAAGCGATAGATGCAGATTTAAGACAAAATGGATTTGATGAAATCCCAAAGATGACTTTGTTGAAAAATGTGCGACCATGCCAGTTGGTGGCGTTAACCTGTTAACTGCATAATGCTGCCCTATGTGCCTTATAATTAAAACAAATGTGGGGAATTCAATCAGATAATTTTGGTATAAACTTTTACTATCACGTTTTCCTCAGACGCTCTTTGTCTAACTGTGGGAAAGCTTTGATTTTTATATTCTGCAGTATGTTAAAATGTAATGTTTGAGTTGTGTAAGAGAAACATCAATAAAGTTTTTCTGTCTTCACCAACATTCATTTCCTGTCTCATTTGTAAAAATGGTTTAAAATATGTATTACTATATATAAATCATATATGTTTATATATATATATATGTATTAGGTTAGCAGAATGTAGATGCTAGAAAGTTTTTAATTACTTCTGCCAGTGTGGTTATGTTTCCACCCCTGTCCTCTTGGTTCATTTGTTTGTTAGCACACAAAAACAACAACACAGATTGCCACAAAACTTGGTGGAAGGATGTGGTGTAGGTCAGGGAAGAACCCATTACATTATGGTGTGGATCTGGATCAGGGGGCAGATCCAGGAATTTTTTTTGACTCTCTTGAACATTCGGACGTGTTTGAGGCTTCCTATTGGCTCTCCATTTCAAAATCAAAAATGATAAAACATTCGGGACACAAGATTTTGCAATTGCCCCACCTACTCCATTTACATGTGGCACGCTAATTTTGACATCTTGGCCCTTGCTGGAGTGACAAGTGATGCTTTTTGAGCCAAACCCCTAACTCTAACCCTAGTGAAGCCAAAAACAGCCCACCGATGGAAATGGTAAGGCTTAAAATCACAAGTTGTACAAGTGACGCCAAAAATGTGTCCTTACTAGTCAGTCTTGTGATTTGTGGACATTTTAAGCCTCAATAGTTACTCTAAGGCATCATAGTGCTGTGATATCACCAATATCTAATAAATGCTCAAAGGGCACACATGCTGTATTTAAAACTGATGCAACTCCTGCTGCAATCAGGATCATGATGCCTTTTTGTTGTCTCTGATGTTCTGATTGCTTCATAATATGGTTTTGATCAAAACCACAAACATTCTTCTCTCTCATTCTTAAAGACACAATGTCTCTGCCGCAACACTCAACAATGTAGACAGAATTTAGAGTTCACAGACAAGACAACATTGTATGTAGATCACGTGAGTGTGTGCATCAATCTTGCTCAGACTTTTGGCACTGGCAGCATACTGTCACTTCACACCCACACACATCCTGGTTGGAGACACAACCAAATTAATAAAGAAGAATAAAAGATATAGAATAAAGAATAAAGCTTCTAAATGGACTGTATTTATAAAACACTTTTCTGGTCTCATCAATCAAATCGAGTGCTTGACAGTGCAGGTTCACATTCACACACACATTTGTAATGCACGTCTATATGCAGTACTTATTCTATCACACACTTGACAAGAGCCATCAAGGGCGTTCTGTGGGTTCAGTGTCTTACCCAAGGACACTTCATCGTGCAGACTGCGGCAGCCAGGGATTGAACCACCAACCCTATGGTCTTGTTTCACCACAGTCATTGTAGTCTTAATAGAAATAACAGATTTAACAGAACAATTGAGCAGAGCCTCTTTAGAATAGCACTGACCTTGCGAGAAATGTTGTAGTGATGTACACAGTTGCAACAATAAATGAACAAATGAACCTGTTTTACGAATGTGAAAACAAACCGTACAATATCAAATTGCTCCAGCTCGGGAATGCAGCACTTAGTTGCTTTGTACTTGTGACATGTGCAATGACAATAAAGTTGAATCTAATCTAAGGTCCCTGGGAAATTTAAAACTAGGAACAACACGTACAGCCAGTGAGTATATTTTCATACTTTGGTACTGGATTAACTAAACATAAGTAAACTTTTGGTTTCGAGCACCAAGGGTCTCACTCTGACTTCAGATGTCTCAGGCTCCAGTCAAGTATCTTATTAAAGTATCTACATTTTCCTTTCACATTTATAATGGGCTGTATGGCATAAAGTGTTATGTGGACTCAAACACTTCACCCACCCCTCGATAGCGTTGAGTAGATAATGAGTGAATTTTCATTTTTGGGTGAACTATCCTTTTTAACTCTCTTAAATGCAATATTCATTTTGTCTGTGTAATGCAGCAGTTCCTTTGCAGTCCATTCACTAAACACACTTGTTCTTGTTTTACATTGTGTACACTTTTTTTCCATTCATATTTTTTATATCCCTTTACACTATTATTATCCTTACACTTAAAGGTACAGTGTGTAGAATTTTGTGATATCTAGTGTCTACATTGCATGTTGCAGCTGAACACCCCTCAACTCACCCTCTCCTTCCAAACATGAGAAAGAACCTGTGGTAGCTTCAGTTTTCATAAAAACTCAAAAGGTGTTTAGTTTGTCCAGTCTGGACTAATGTAAAAAACATGGCGGCCTCTGTAGAGAAGATGTAACTATAAAGTATTTAAATATAAAGGGACTTTTCTAGGGTAAAGAAAACAACAATTCATATAAATTAGATGAAACGAAAACACCATGAGGATAATTCTACATTAAATATCTGCTAATAGATCCCTTTCACCTAAATCTTACACAATGGACCTTTAAGTATTGCATGTTACTAAGTATTATTTTTGACTCTTGCTGTTGAAATATTGCAAATTTCCCTTTTGTGGGACTAATAAAAATGATCTTATCTCATTTTAACTTATCTTATCTTACCACAGCTTTTGCAGAGCAGCGGCCCCTGGTGGCTGGTTTGCAGAAGTGCACCGTTAGCTCGCCACTACCTAGCCTGCCTGTGCACCTCGACACTTTAGCAATTGAACAAACACGAGTGTGTGAGGTGAATGCGGCTCAACGCACGGGGACATGCTCTCACTGAATTAAAACACACGCCACACAGAGACGCGTGGCCCCACTGCGCAGGGCAGCCGCGTAAGTCTGCGTCTTAAACGGATTCAAACGGTGTCTACGAGCGTGTGCTAACGCTAGCCTTACGCTAGCATAACACGGATAGCGGCTAGCTACAATAAGTGTCGCCGGCTGCACGGACGACAAGTGCGGCTTTCGCCGTGAGATACAGCTCGGTAGCGAAACGGTGGATATGTTCAGTTAGGTTAGCATAGCTTGTGGTTGTTGTTTCTCTAACACTGATGGGAGAGTGGTGAAAGACATGCTATGTTTTATGAGGACTGCTAACTCACATTAGCACAATTGGCTAGCTGGTCAGCGCTTTAGGTTGGCTGTAACCTGACAGCTTCCATGCTAGCCGGCTAACTCTATGCTAGGTGTACTCGTAACTGGCCCACGGGAGCAGTGATTTAAATGCTTAGCTTGATGTTTCCCGTTTGTTTTACAGGCAGCCATGTCTGGTGTTAAAAGGAAGATAGAAGGCAACGATCCTGATTATGAGGACGTCTCCCTGGTCCAGAGCACCAAGAGAAACAAAGCGGCTGAACACGATGGTAGGTTCATGCTCTGAATGAGCCAGTGCACCTGATTTACATACAACTAACAGTACCAACATGTGTTTTCATACTTTAACAGCCCGAGAGGCAGCGGTGCAGAAGATCGAAACCATCATCAGAGAGCAGTTCTCTTTGGAGATGAAGAGCAAAGAGCATGAGATAGATGTGATAAGTCAGGTACCTGGAGGATACAGTAAAAGTGTCTTTTCTTGTTCTCATTTACTACACACACTGTGTGAGTACAGTACATCAGTACTGAGTTGATACAGAGTGTACGTAAATGACATTATCTGTATGATTGCTGTGCTGTTCAGAGTATTTTGGCTCATTGTGTTTCATTGTTTTGCAGCGACTCAATGAAGCCAGGAGGATGATGGACAAGCTAAGGGCATGCATAGTTGCTAATTACTATGCCAACGCTGGGATAACAAAGCTCCCTGAGGTAAATCTCCATACCCAGAGGTTCCATCTGGTTTTTGTTGAAATATTGATGATTAAAAACCTGCCTAGTATTTAGTGTTTACAGGTGCTTGTAGATGATGTTTATAATGATGGAGATAACATGCCACAGTAAGCCCATTATATAACTGAAACAATTGTTGGATACATTATCAAAACTTAATGATTAATTCAGTGGCAGAATTGTGACTACAAACAGTAGTTTCTTTGATGATGCATGCTTTTAAGCTTGCACAGATGCGGCTACAGTAACTCTACTATTAATCTGCTTTACCCAGTACGTTGCTGTGTCCTCTGTGTCCCAGCATGCCCCTAAGAGTGACCCTGCAGTGCTGAACCATCCAGCCATCCGCCGCTTCCTGGAGTCCCCATCCCGGTCCTCTTCCCCTCTCAACCAGGGCTCTGAGACGCCATCTCTGGCCCACTCAGAGTCCGAGTCCCTCTCACAGCAAGGAGAGGGATCTGAGAGGGACGTGGAGGGAGCGTGGAGAGAGGATAGCAGCAGGCAGGAGCGAAGACCTGGGCGTAATACAGGCAAAGTAAGTTCAGTTGCTTCTTGCTGGTTTTAATAGACGCCATCACATTTTCCCAATCCTGGCCTCTCTCCATTGGCTCCCTGTTTAGAATTGACATAAGAATTATACTAATCACTTTTAAAGCTTGCATTTGTCTTGCCCAAAGCTACTTATTGGAAAAGTTGACCTCACATGAGCCATGTTGCAGCCATAAATCCTCCTATGCTAGGAAACAGGGTCCCACAGGGTACCATCAGGGCCCCTCAGCTTTGGAAGGAACGCCTGGGGAGATGATGCTTGCAGATTCAGTGACTTCTTTTAAATCACTTCTTAAAACCTGTTTTTATAGACTTGCTTATGTGATGTTGTCTTTTTAATGTTTTATTGCTTTTATGTAATGTAGTCTTTTATTGTTCCTATTCTTTTTATTTGAATTTACTGATTTACAGGATGCTGTCTTCTTATTGCTATATTAATATTATTACTTTATTATTATTATTATAGATTACATTGTTGTTGGTGAATGTGGAGAGGGTGTCAGCATTCATCTTGCATCTTTTTTTATCTCTCATCATGTCTGCTATGTTCTCCATTATTTGCCGTAGGACACTTTTGGTGTGCCGTCATCTGTAGGAGCAGATCAGAGGGTGATCTACCACACGACCGGGGACGAGGCCTCTAGACTGTATGCAAAGAAAACAATTGTAGTGGGGAATGTATCCAAGTACGTAACCAAACGCAGAATAGATTTTACTCACTCTGTCATCTCTCTGACTCAGTAGGTTTTAGCAAAGGTC